CCCTGCTGGAGGGAGCTGAAGGGAGAGATAGTCGTCACAGCGAACCTAAAATAAACGCAATGTGGGCACCTTGGGTAGTGTGCAGGTGTGTGAATTGTCTCTCCACCCCTCCCCTCTTTCTCTCTCTCTCTCCCCTCTCTCTCTCTCTCTCTCTCTCTCTTTCTCTCTCTCTCTCTTTCTCTCTCTCTCTCTCTCTATCTCGTATGCCATGCCCACTCTCACTCCCTTCATGCTCCCAACCTCCAATATCTAGCGGTCCAACGTAACAGTGCAGTTAACGGGCTTACTTTGAATCATCGGGACTTCGCGTCCGGTCGGGTGGTTGGGGTACACGACCTTTCGTAGATTTAATCGTAAGTTTTTCATAAAACATTTCACAAACATTACCCCCGATATGTCGTGAATAAAGGAGCATATTTTCACAAAAGGTAGGGTTACGCGACCACCCGACCCAACGCGATGACCCGATGGTTCACAGTAAGCCCACTCAACGCGTGTCGGCAACGTAGAAACGCACGGATGTTTTCGCAAAACACTGGACTGTAACATATATGAATAACATCCTCACAAACGTCCTTGTAGACGCTTGATAAGATTGTGTAAGTAAGGTTGAGAGACATTATTCATGGTTTTGTGAATGAACCTTGTTACTAGCGAATGCTATATTTGGATGAAAATTTTCCGGCGGAGCACTTGGGTTCCTGAACTTCTAAACAGAATATATTGCATCCCTGGAAGTTGCACTTTTAATCTGTCCTTTCTCTTCCATCCCTGCCTTTACCGTTTTTCTGAAAATCAGATAGAATTGCTCTCATTCACCAAGATACTCTATGTCAATTTATCGTAAAATAACTCGCCCGAAAACGTGCAGTAGCAAGTAAATCGCGATTTTATTTTATGTACGCTTTCTAACCTTTATCCATGTAAGCCGTGTGAGTATCATTTTATGTCTCTTAAAGTTCAGAGGGTGACTGCTTGTGTACATTTTGTCCAAAACATCACACCGTAGGAGAAATGACCGAGAACATGGGGCAAGTATGGTATTGAAATGGATCGCATTTTTACGACTATTGAATTGTCTTCATCCCTGTTGAGATTTTTTTCTAGAAGCTTCGGTAACTTATTCCTTAACATCCTGGAAAATTTCACAAGAAAGCCCAGACTATTTTATTTTTTGGACTTATATAAACCATGTCTGTTTTAATAAAGGGGACATTACGAATGATGTGCTCAGTACACATGGGCTCACAGAATGTACCTTGAATAAGCGTGAAAAAAAATTCTATATTCTATACTTAAAAAGTGCGTGCTTAGAATTTAATTCTGTCCTTTTTTTTACGAATTTTTTGTGATAATCATTAAGCAATTTGGCTTGCTCTTCTTCGTGATCAAATTATGCAGGGGAAGATAATTCAATTACTGTTAATTAGGTGATTAATCACTGTCAAACGGCTGCTATGATAATTAGGAATATGGTCTTAGCATGACCAGGTCTATTAGGCCTGTAGTGGATCTTTATACCGGTTAATCGCGACATTGCACGCGCACTGTCCAATGGTTTATGATACAAGGCTACTTGGTGGAATCGAACAGGCTTCATCTTATTTTAATTCCTTGGACAATGTCGAACAATTATGAAAACATGATAAGTGGCATGGTAAATAAGTGAGGGATTGTGTGTGTTGGTGTATGTGCGTGAGAGAGAGAAAGAGATCATAGATATATAATATAGGGTGAGTTAATTCGAGTTATCTTAGGAGAGAGAGAGAGCGCAAATTTTCATCACCACTTACATGATAGCTTTTAATCAAACATTTTGATGGATGCTCTGCTACGCCAATTGTTCTGGTCTATCGTACGTGGTAGTGAATTAAAATGGTTGATTTCTATTTAAGCCATTGACTACTGGAACCGGGTGGATAATGTACAGTGCGTCCCAGAAAAAACGAAACCGAGAATTATCGATGTTTTATCATAACTTAGTCAAATTTTTAATTAATAAATGACACATATTTGGAAAGCTTAGATCCTCTTCTTTCATGTGATGCAACTTATATGATGCATATTTCACGCATGGCTGATTAAAATCAATTTGAAGAGAGGAAACCAAAAAGTCATTTGGCGGACGGTATCTGAATTTTAACGAGAAAATCACATTTCTAGAAAGTTGAGTTTCTGCCCTTTCATATGACACCTCAATCAGGAAAAATGAGCAAGGAATGACAAAGGTCTGCTTGTTTGAATTAGTGCTTGCATTTCCATAATTTTATCAAACGAATTCGTTTTCACTGGCTGCCTGCCGTAGCAACAAGCAGAATTGTACAAAAGACTTAACTCCGTTTCATTGACGATCAGCCGTAGACGAAAGACTTTAATTATAATCGTGATAAAGTTATGATAAAACATCGATAATTCTCGTTTTCGTTTTTTCTGGGTACGCGCTGTATAAAGTCCTTGGAAACGAGATGATTTAGTAGTCAACAGGTTAATAGCTATACAAAGTAAAGGTTTAATTATGATTGTAATAAGGGGAGGAGGGTTAATTGGTTGAAAACAAATAATTGAGATTGGTCTTTGCATCATTGACCACAGATAAATATGTCCATGCGGCTGCGACGAAAAACCACTTAGACAAATCTACTACAGATGTGAACTCATTATCTTGTAGAGCCGAGGTAAAAATTGTAGATCTTTAGGTTTAGCTATAGAGGACCGTCGCGCCGACGTGGACGGCGTTAATATAAATCTAATGCCTGTTTCACACGATGCGCTATTTTTCTGACGTAAATCTGCGTCAACAGCTGACTCGGCCTTTAAATGCTGCGTCATAGGAGAGTTATATCGCACACAAATTAATGTAAAATCTACAAAGTGAACATAGCTTTGAACGTTGGCGTATGCGCTGATTATCTCAACAGGCTTCATTAGCGCATGTAATAACGCAAGCAAAATGACGCCTCATGTGCAACCGCAAGAGACTGGATTACTAACATATTCAAATGTTATGTATGCTTTTTAAACTAAGGTTGTTCTTGACAACCTGAAAGCTTACCCGAGATTTTCCCGATATAGCAACAAATAATGTATGTAGACTTGATGCAAAGTATTGCAGTTTATTCATTGATGACATGTTAATGGATTAAACTTGTCATGAGGTCCGCAGGAAAGAAACATCCGATAGGGCCATTAGCCGACAGTGCAATCAGTAAAATCTATTGTAGTACTGTTGTATGGTCACATTATGTTGACAAATGTATCTTTAATGCTACTTTTGCTGTGCTTGTGGAACACATGTGTGGCAGTGATGTCTAAATTGGGGTCGTAGAATCACTCTTTACTAATGAGTTGTACATTAACGAATCGCAATTAGCTTGATTGCCCCCCTTTTCACGGTGTGACACATGGACACTTAACCGTATAATTATTAATCCATTGCCTCTATAGTGATAGCGCAACGAGTAATAAACCGGCTCATTAGTTCAACTCTATGGATGTTTCTTTCACGGGGACTCAGTGTCGAGTTTACCGTCCGCACACATTACTTGTTGCTATGTCGAGCAATCCTCGGGAAATCTTTTAGTTGTCAAGAACATTTTTTGAAATAAATATCAATACTATTTGAATATTTTCAACGTGTGCCATGTCCGAAAATACAGTGGCTCGTGGAAGCGTCGAGGGCAATAAAATAGATAATGAAAACTTCACATGTGTCTCATAAATATTATCATGAATACTCCAGGGTAATATGTTCTTCTTCTATTAATTTATTTATTCTTTTTAGTGGCGGATGGGGTAGGGTAAAATGTACATGCACATCGCATAACTCATGACGTGATGTCATCAGTTATGCGTGTCAAAAACGCACTATTGATCTCTGCGGAAGACTTCATTCTCGTAAGATAATGCATTGTTTCAGGGCATATTCAAGGCATCATGCGTTTAATATCCATCATTCGGATGAAGTAGATAAACAAGTTTATCACAACGCTCCAACATAGGAAATTGGAATTATGCTAGTCGGGAAAATTAGGGTAATTGTTTGTTATTATCAATAAAGTGTTTCCCTCATCCTCCAGAATTTTACAAATTTACCTGTTAAAGGCACACTGCCATACTTGTAGCTACTTGCTCCCTCTATATAGAAAACTTCCCCAATCGGTGCCTGTTGGTCCCCCATGATCCTCTTTTTCTTATGTTAAATGAGAGCTGAGTTAATGAGATAGCCACCTGTCACAGTGACCTCGATGGCTCGCTGTGTGGTCTAATCCCTTCTTGCCCAGTAGTGGTGACGGTCTTTAAATCTCACCTTTGTTAGTAAAAGTACTTTCTTTTTCAACAGCTGCTTGTTAATGCTATCAAAATTATTCAATACAGCTTTTTATTTTTTTGTTCGTAGAATGCGCTCGTGTTCTCATGACAAAGGATGGATTGCCCTTTAACTGTCGCTTCAATGGACCATTTTTGTTTTGTAAACGAGGCACTTAACAAAGATTCGTGCTTTAAATTTGATTACATTACGTAAATGGGCTATTGTGTCAGTCTCTGATAGATGAAACGTGTCAAAGTTTGGCTATTTTTCCCCTTATTAGACATGTTAGAAGGGAAAGCAGAAGGTATCTAGCAGCGCATAGAATTCAGTTTTATACCTTTTTTGATTGAAGTTGCACTGTACGTTCGACACTTGACAAGTACAACTGCACAAGGCATGATGATACGCCAAAGCCGGTCCATAATGTTCAGAATGGAGAAGAAGGAGGAGAAGGCGAAGTAGAACCAAAAGAAGTAGAAGAAGAATAAGAAGGAGAATGATCAGAAGCAGAAGGAGAAGAAGAAGGCAGAGGAAGAGGAAAATGAGAAGAAGGAGAAGAAGAATAAGAAGGAGAATGATCAGAAGCAGAAGGAGAAGAGGAAGAAGAAGGATAACAAGAAGGATAAAAATAGAATAAAAATAAGGATAAGAATAAGAAAATATAAGAAAAATAAGAGGAAAAAAAAGAAGAAGAGGGAAAAGATAATAGGTCAAGAGCGAAGCCGATAACCATCTAGAAAGAGAATATTTAAACGTGAAGTGTAGTAACACCAATGCAAGGGGGCATTATGCGAATTATAAAGAGCAAAGATGCGTGGTTAAATATTGCAATCAACCTTCCAGTTGAGTTGAGATACGATACCCTACCGCGGCAGATATAATTCATACTTCATCTTTTCTTTGACTTTTTCCCATTTTGTCTCTGCAGTTTTGCAAGGAACCAGCGGTGAGTGACAAGGAGACCTACCGAACGTTCGCCCGTACCGTCCCGACGACGGAGAAGGTGTCCGAGTCCGTGTTAGCACTTCTCAAGCAGTTTAACTGGAACGTTGTGAGCGTGGTGGCGGCTAAAGATCTCCAGTTTTCGCGGGTTATGACCAGGTTAGTAGAGGTGTTGTGGACTAGTGGATAAGTCACCCGACTGCAGATCATAAGGTACGGGGTTCAAGTCCCGCCGCGGCACTAATGTCCTTTAGCAAGACGTTAATCTACATTTGTCACTCTCCACCCAGATGTAAATGGGTACCTGATATGCGTGAGCGCTATAGTTACTTTGGCAGCTCGGCTACGACCAGGGGTAATATGTGTAAAGCGCCATGAGCGTCAGAGCCTGGTTATCATTATTATTATTATTAAGAAAATTAAGAAAGGAAGGAGGCCAACTGAGCTGACATTTGTCTCTCTTGTCGACAGTTTTGTTTTGTTCTTGTTCTCTGACAACCTATAAGTTCCCTTTCTTGTTGCTATGTTCATCGTTTTGTGTTCGTTAACAATTTATGATTGAGTTACATCAGTTTGACAAATATCACCTGCCTTCATTATTTAAAACAAAAATTGTCGAAAGTCGTCACCTTTAATGTGCAAAGTATCAAACTAAAACTGATGTCCCTTTGATATGTTCTAATAACCTGTCCTATTAACACATAATGGTTATTGACAGGATAAATATATGTTTCGTAAAATTCCATTTCCTAGAAGAAATACTTCGCTCAAGTGGAGGGAGTATGTTTCCTATTTCACACGGTGCTTGAACCGAAATGATATCTCATATAACATATCAACCATTTTTGTTAAAGGTAATACAACGTTTTGGTATGGGGTCATGAATTGGAAGCAAATGCGATCCTACAATATTTAGTGATTTAGTGATTAATTAAGCTATAAAACAATGTTTCTTGACTAAATTCGAGCAAATTGATATTCCCGTTTGGAAATTATATATCACAACTACATATTCTGAGATTTGCATGGTCGCAGCTACCATTGAACGGCCGTAGACGCTATTTGAAATTCATCAAAATTTACCGGCTGCACCGATAAATTTTTATATTCATTTTTTCTCGAAAGCAGAAGTGTTTTAGGGGCTAAATTTTCTAGTGCTTATAATACATCCACAGGGGCATCCGAATATATCAAAATTTTAAAAAAATCACTATCCACCCAATTTTCAAAATTTCCAAAAACTTTGTATACCTTTAATGTAATCAAATCTAATGCATACGTCTTAGCTTGTTAAGTGCCTCGTTACGAATCATTTCATTCACCTGTTACGAATAATTATATTTCAGTAGTCAGAATCCAAATTACATACGTGTTGTTACAGGGGACAAGTCATAATATTTGGCCTACCTATAAATAACAAGAGCCATCGATACACCAAATTGGGCCAACTTGGTTTCGCTAGATGACAACATAGCGTATATTTTGTTGGTTTGTACTTGTCTACAACTACTTGCCATGTTGTGCCCATATCGAACCGGGTAAGCTAAACCCTCCCAATCAAATTCTATGACGATAAATAATGTATGCAATTCGGATCCTGGCTAGTGGGATACAATTATTCTTAACGAGCGGATGCAATAATTTGTAGCAAGGAACTTAAAGACTAATAAATAACATTTGATTACATAACGGAAACAATGTTAATTGTATTTCAATAGACAAAATGCAAAGTGCATACATAACGTAGTTGTAGATTGGGCAATTCATAATATTTATCCGACCTAGCAACAAACTATGCAATTTGCAATCTGACTATACAATCGTACACATTTCATGAATGCAATAGCTCGTGGTTATGTAAACGTATAAATTGAATACATTTTAAAAGTGTTCTATTCGTATCTGTGTTTTTTCTAATTTCTGTTTCAACCCCAACCTCCTTTTTTTTCCTCTCTCTCTTTCTCTCTCTCTCTCTCTCTCTCTCTCTCGCTCTCTTTCTCTCCTTCTCTCTCTCTCTCTCTTTCTCCTTTTTTCCCTTTCTCCCTTTCTCCCATTCTCTCTCTTTCTCCCTTTCTCCCATTCTCTCTTTCTCTCTCTCTCTCCCTTTCTCCCTTTCTCCCTTTCTCCCTTTCTCTCTCTCTCTCTCTCTTTCTCTCTCTCTCCCCTCTCTCTCTCTCTCCCTCTCTTTCCCTCTCTCTCTCTTTCTCTACCTCTTTACATCACTAACACCAGACTGGAGAAGTTCCTGCCACTGCACGGCATCAAGGTACAGCACGCCTTCTCCTATGAGAATCCGTACTACCCCATCCCTCCAATCAAAGACAACCGCCTCAAAGACATCATAGAGCAATCCTACACCAACACACGAAGTGAGTACCTGCAGTGGGGAAACTTATCTACCCCTCACACTATGAATACGACGGACAAAGAAAGAGGACAAAATATACAGTTCCTCAGGTAGACAAAGGAACATCCCTTCACTGCTATTATGTAAAAATGTGTAGAACAGGTGTCACATGCATATTCACCTGTTCTACACATTTTTACATAATAGCAGTGAAGGGATGTTCCTTTGTCTACCTGATGAACTGTATATTTTGTCCTCTTTCTTTGTCCGTCAAATTCATAGTGTCATATTCAATAAGGCATGTTCGTAATTTAATCAAATTTAATGCACATATTTTTGTGAAGTGCATCGTTAGAAATTATTAAATGCACCTGTTATGATGCATTTCAATAGCCAGATGTTTGTTCTACCTAGCTACAATTAATGTACGCAATTCACAATCTTACTATAGACAAAAAAAAAACTATTTGTAACAGGTGAACGGAATAATTTGGAAATGGCACTTATGTAATGTATGCATTCAAATTGATTAGATAACGAAAATGGTCTATTGCACTATCGCAAAGAAAAGCATTTCATTTCAATATCAAATGATACAGGGCAGGGGGGGGGGGGTGGTCCGTATCAGGCAAGAAGAAATGTCTCATTGTGTTATGTCCATTGACATCAGTTGAACACACGCCAATGTTCAAGCAGGCAGCAAGTTATAATACATAATACATATGATTTATAAGGCGCCAAATCCACTTGAAAGTCAAATGCTCAAGGCGCAGCTTGTGCAAGAGATGAAATACATACATGATACATTTATACAAAGTGCGATAGGAAAGGTACAGACATGAAAGTTTATGGTAATAAATTATAAGCTAAATCAAACAGATATTTCTTAAGATTGTGTTTTAACATCTTCTTACAGTTAGGGTTTGATAGAAAGCTAGTCTCCTGGAACAAAGATGGCCCTTAGAAACGTTCCTTCATGTCTCGTTTGTTTTATACAGAGTTATATTTCCTCAGATCAATGGGCCATAGTCACATCAGGGACCCGTTTCACAAAGCCTTTTTTCAATGATAATGACAAAAATCAGTGACGAATCTGCTGATAACCAATCAGAAGCAAGGATTTCAGTATTTGTCACTGATGACAAGTTTTGTAAATTACCCCCCCCCCCAGGTCTATACGCCCAAGTATGTCCAGCGTTATGTTTCAACACTGGACATAGTTATCTCTCTGTCGTTAGTATATCCCAGTATATTCTCATCCTTCATTACTCAGTTAATGACTCACAGATTACATCAATAACAATCTTTATGGAAAAGCCTGCCAGACCGACCAAGCCAGCTTTTATTCGAATTGTATCTTTTTGAACAATCATGAACAATATTTGTTATTATATCATTTTGAACATCAAAATAATTTCAATTTTTTAAACTCATTCTTGATTTTGAAAATATCAAGTGTAAATATTGTTAACATTGCATAATTTCAATCTCAATCGTCAACGTTCACACCTCAATATATACTGACATTGTATAGAATAAAATATTAATTTTGATCCCTAACCTGCATGGGGCTTTGCCTTTTTTCCCCACGCCCGGACCGATTCCCTAGGTTGAAAAAACCAGAGATAAACTAAATAAGGCAAATGCTCTGGAAAACCTAATGGCAAATCGTCCCAATAAAAATTTGAATCTCTAAACCTCCTACAAAAACAAACACCAAACTATTGTTCTGTATTAAAATTTCCACTTGAAATTTGTGTCGTGTATCTAGTGTCTGACAAAGCTAGAATGGCTACCACGCCCATTTCCCTCTCTTATTATGCCTTTCTGAACATTCCTTTCCTTCTCAATACAATAACTTACACCTGCCTAAGTTATTCAAACCATCCCGCTTCACGGAATCGTGGCGTCTCGCCACTCCCATTACGTAATCATTAAACGGATCCGCATATACAACATTTTCCTGAGGCTGCTATACGTTGTACCGCAGGAAAATACAATTATCTAAAGGTTAATGTTTCCCCAAGTCAATGGACCATCCTCTTACGGCCAGGGTCAGGGCTATAGGTTTCTTCTAACTAATGGACCATTCATCCATCCGTGTCCATGTTACGTTTCGGCAGACCAATGTGACCCTAGGGTAGAATGGCTCGTTAGGGTTAGTGTTATGTTTCTCGTAGCAAATGGGCCTTGACTCATTGGGGTGTGGTCTAAGTTTCATTGGAACAGTGACCGTTCAATGGTTTATGTTTTAAGTAAACAGGGAAGATTAACATTAACACATTGATGAGGTGTCACTCCCATATTCCTGTCGTTAGTATATCCCATTATTTGAGGAGTAGTGTTTCATCAAGTTAATGGACCATTCTCTTGCCATGGTCAGGGCTAAGTTTCTATTCACCAATGAAGCATTCCTCCACCAATGTTCATGTTACGTTTCGTCAGAGAAATGTGCGTCGCCCCTTCCGTATGTCGAGTGGCACATTGGGGTTAGTGTTATGTTTCTCTTATCAAATGGGCCTTGTCTTATTGGAGTATGGTCTTTACATAAGTTAAAATAAAGAGCACTCCCGTGATGAATCAACGTAATAACAAATGCAAACTAAAGAAACTTTAGTAGGTTAATCAGTAGTATGTTAGACTGTTGGAAAGTAACTTAACATTATCCACCTTACACACAAGTTAGAAAAACAAAACGAGTATTGTAATTCAGTGTTCTTTATTTGGGCAAGAGTATTATAATCCATAACACAGTCGATGCCAATGATCTACAATCGATTCTGCATGCATAGACTCCAAGATAGGACCATTACAATAAGATGAATGGGAAACTTCTTAGAAATTGTGTTCATCTGTTTTATTATTGTTACTGTAAAAAAGTACGATATTCTTTTGTGTATTTTTATTCAGACGCGATATCATGTATGTTGTGACTTAACATTATGGGTAATATTTATTTATATATTTAATTAATCCATTCCTCATACGTTAGTAATCAAAAGTAGTTTTTTATTCAAGAGGCGTCGTTTCAATTGCGTTAAGTCTTTTAAGGCAATCCTCAAATGCTCCAGTATCAAATTCATTGCACGGATTTATTCAATCTATCTACATCGTCATTCATTCTCATAATATGCGTCAAAGGCGATGCCATTCGCTGACAAAGTCCTCTAGAACAAATGAGCCCCCTGCGCATCCGGCATTAACCTCATTCAATTTTCTGACCCATGCTTCATGAATGAAAATGGATGATCTCAGTCAATGACAGTCTAAAAATGAACTTCATCATTGTCATTTTTTAAATGAATATCCATCGAGGCTGCCTTCACCACTCACCCAGTATAACAAGTAATCAAGATTCAGAGAAAGCATTAATATCAATATCTATTTCTTCTGAAACACCTCACCCCTTTTGAGTAAAGGTCAGACAGAATGAAGAAAAATGTTTTTAATCTTGTTCTTCGGAATACTACGTGACTTTGATGAAAACAAATTGGCGGCAAGGCATGTATTAAATGTCATGTGATTTCGCTTCATGAATGGAAAGCCCTGTTCAATGGTGGGTATAGGTTTACATTGTGCGGGCCTAAAACTTAAACCTTGCTAGATGTGACCGGATTACATGATGGAGAAAACAATTTAAAAGGCAAATCAAAATTCTTTTCAAAAAAGTTTCAAGCATGATGCAAACAAAATGAAAAATACAAATGAAAGGATAAACAAAATAAGGTTAAGTCGAACACTGAAAGAAAAAAAAAATAGATTCTGATATTGACGAAATATATTCTTCTCATAAGCTAATGGAATATTACATAGAAGATTTACATAGAAATATTTAAAGTCTGAACGCTATTTATTTAGAACATACAATAATGTTTATCTTGCCAAAATATTGATGGTTTTCTTAAAAGCACAAACTAAGCAACATCGGACAAACATGTTGTCTGACCCACAATGTCGGAGTTATCTTCAGGTCACGACCAGTAATGACATCATTGTCCTCAATCCAGATTCATTCATCTTTTTTCTGTCTCCCTGAGGACGCATCTTGTAATAGCGCTGTAACAATTCGCAAAATAAAACTGGGCCCCATTTCACGAAAATTGTCATCAGTGACAAGTGACAGATTTTGTTATAAGCTAGTGAAATCCTTGCTTCTGATTGGTTATTAGCAGATTTGTCACTGATTTAAGTCATTTGTCATTGAAAAGGCTCTGTGAAACGGGTCCCTAGTCTCCTGTGTTCATCCATTTGCGACCATTTGTGTCCAAACAAATCCTGGATGATACAGGATCATTATTAAAGCAATCCATCCCTTAATTGCTCTTCTTTCACAGTTTACGTCTTCATACCCGCGGAGCCGTACGAGTTACACGCTTTCCTTGAGGACCTCGATGAAAAGGGACTTCTTGACGATGGAGATTACATCGTCGTCGCCATCTTCTTCAAGATCTTCGACGAGTCTAACCGAGATGGACTTATAAAGGGTAAGGTCATTGCCCTTCTTGAACCCTGTTTCATAATAAATATTTATCAATTTCAAAATACGGCAGCTGTTGTAAGCTACTAAAATCCTTCTATTTGTTTGGCTCTGTGCAAAGTTGATGAAACATGATAACAATTTGTTTGATTGAAAATTCGTTTTATGAAACAGGGTCCTTTTAACGGTATCCACTGGTCTAGTTTTTGAGACCAGTGGTTTCCATTATTCATTTTCATTACTGATAAATCTGTGAATTCATATTCGTGGAAAATAATCAAAAATATAGTAACAACATGTTATCTATAAGGGGAAATTTATCGGACTGGTATTCCTACAAAATGGTACGAGAATAGTTATACTAGAAATGATATGTGACGCCATCAGGGAGTAGTCTTTTTGTCAATACACATTTCTATGGCCACAGGTTAAACGTGGAAAACAACTGTGTAATCATTGTATATCGAATGTGTTTTATTGATTTTAGAAGGTAATTATTGGGCTATTTGATTTGTCTATTATGCCTCTTTCTTTTCTTTTACGTTTATAGTTTCCTTTTTAGGCACTGTTTCATATTAGCTATATTGGTCATTGTCTACAACTTTATTTTTTCACCTCTTTCCAAAAGTAAATGTAACATTTACCTCTTCCATTACAAGTAATAATCTAACTAGACACGGGCTAGCGCGACGCATGACACTTCATCGACTAACATTTCATCCAAAAAAACTGGTTTTTTAAACCGTGGCCCGACTACCCAATTGCGTAAACTGACTTTAATGAAAGAGGATAGCGCAACGCATGACACTTTATCGAATAACACTTCATCGAATAACATTTCACCCAATAAACTGTTTTTTTTTAAAAACCGCGGCCCGACTACCCAATTGCATAAACTGACTTTAATGAAAAAGGATAGCGCGAAGCATGACACTTCATCGACTAACATTTCACCCAATAAACTGTTTTTTTAAACCGTGGCCCGAGTACCCAATTGCGTAAACTGACTTTAATGGAAGAGGATACACTACAACATTAACTGAATTTACTCCATCGTATCACCTTACTCGGTGATCCATGAGTGGAACTTGAGGATGTTAAAAAGCCAAATAATGTAGATTGATGATGATGATGATGATTCCCTGCCTACTTTAACTGACTTAATAACCCGATAAACAAGATGGGGTACGCATGTATCCACAATACTCCCCCCCCCCCCCCATTCCTTCTTGTGGATCGTTTCACCTAATAACATTAGTAAGCCAGGCCTGGTTTCAGCATTGGTGCACTTGATGCGGGATAATATAATCATCGGTGTCTCCTCTAGGGTAACCTATACACCTGTTTCTTAACAGGTTATCTTGTTAGGGTGTCACTTTAACGTTATTAATGGAGGTATCGAACCAAATTAGCGGACCTGGTGGGCGAAAACAATTCCAAGAACCCTCCCTCCTAAAAATAAAAATACCAAAAGAGGTCTTCATTTCTTACCAAAAATGAAACAATACTTCTGGTGTTTTTTTTAGAAGGGACACCGCTGGACCATTTTGAAAAGAAGAAGGAGGAGTGTTAACCTTATCATTGAGAAAAAAAGTCCGAGAACGTCAAAAGTAAAGAGGGTGTGGTTACACCCCACACCCCTTTTTAAGCGACCACCTTGATCTCGTGTTACAATAACATGTATAATTACCACCATTAGTTTGATGGTGATGATGATGATAACGATGATGATGATGATGATGATTATTATTATTGTTATTACTATTAGGCCTTTAACAAAAAGATGTTGTATCGCCCTTATTGCAACCGACCCAAAAATCTTGAAATCTACTGTCGGCTTTTTAATTTCATTTTTTTTAAACCGTTTTTTAGAAGAAAAAAATGTATTAAAGCATTCAGATCTGAGAAATATCAGCCCAAAGAGGAAGTAAAAAAAAAAAGAAGAAACATTTCCGACCGACCGACCCATGTTTTGGTACCTAAAGAGCAATACAACATCTTTTATTTTTAGGCCTCATCATTGTTATCATTATCGTTATCACTGTTATTGGTATTGTTTTTATTATCATTATTATTAATGCACTCATTATTATGATTATTATTATGATTATTATTATTATTATTATCATAATTGATTCCATACCTTAATCGCAGGTGTCTACTACCCGGCTGAAGGTCCCGATGGTATCTCCCAACGCATCAGGTACATGCATAACGTCCTCATGCTCTTCTACACGAGTGCCATGAGTCCTGACTTCAATGGATTCAAGATCGAAGCAAAGGCCTATCTCTCAGAGCCGCCCTTCAACTTCGACTCTGGTCTCCTTGAGGAATTAGGATATCCCATTGAGGTACATTCCAAAATGAATATTATGTCAACAACAGTTAACGACTAAATTATTAATACTCCTTATACATTTGTTCGTTTTTTTTTTATTGATTTTTTTTTTCTCAATTTTTTTCATTTAAAAAAAAAAAAAAAAAAAAAAAAAAAAAAAAAATCATTTTTTTTCCCTTCATTTTTTCATTTTTTTCATTTTTTTTTTTATTTTTTTTTTTTTGGGGGGGGGTTGTTTCTCGTAACTCAAGAATGAAAGGTGTACTGGTTGAATTTCGGCTTTTGTGGAATACTTTTAAATGTCAGCTCTAATATGTTACATTCTTAAGGAACGAATCAAATCTCCACATACTTAGAAATAATATAAAACTTGGGAAGTGTTTGGATTATTTAGTTGTTTACTGTATAATGTTAGTTTTTCGATTCAAACCATAATGATGAATGTCTAAATACGTTCCCTCATTTAAATATATAAACATTGAAACAAAGAAATTCACGAATGAAGAAAAGAATGATGTGATTGTTGTGATCAACATATCCTAAAACTTAACCCTTATTAAACAAAAATGACTCGATTTTGATGCAGAATCAGTGTCACCACAGCTCACGGCTTTTGAAATAGATATCGCGACGTTTTACACAAGCGTAAATCGGTCTCCAAACCAATTTGAAAGGTTAAAATATCGCTATTTTAAAAAAATTGTGTTTTCCTTTCATTTCTAAAATCCGTCTAGATCACAGAGGATGCTGCTTATCTTTACGATGCCGTGATGCTGTACGCTAAAGCTCTCAACCAAACCCTGAGCGAAGGAGGGAGCATCACGAACGGGACCGATATTATCTCAAACATCCTAGACAAAACATATCAGAGTAAGTTTTTTAGAAAACATTGCATCTTCATGACCTTCTTGTAAGTTCGCTTTAAAAGGAATAATTGGCAGAATTAACAGGTGACATGTGACCCATTAGTTTCGATTGTTAATTGGAATTTATTTTATGAGCAGGATGTAGAAACGATGGCCTTGATCATTTGAGAGACAATACTCGATAAACACTCAAATAATGATGATATTGACTACACAGTTTCACCCTCCATGTTACTGTACGTTTTTGTATAGGAGATCAATGCACTATATCACACATCCTTTATGACATTGAGGCAAAAACTTGCGTTGCTATTCATCGGGAATTATGTTTGATTGTACATGTACTTTCAGTTAATTGATCCCCAAAGTAATCAACTAAAGGTCACATTCTAAATATTAATCATGACAATGTCCTTCCACAAAATTGTTTCAAAGGGTAATGATAAACACTTGATAGCAGGCATGCATTAATCATGTTTATCATATTAATTGATAATAATACTTTTATTCATCATTCGTATCATTGGTGACTTTTTGCTTTTATTAGTGCTTGTACAGTGCACCCGAACCTGAATCCACCATCCCTATACAATTAGATGAACAAAAACGAGTGAAACATTTTAATTATGATGCAATGACAACGTCGACTAGGAAAATAACTGATAATAGTGCTCAAGTTAACGTAGGTGTATGAATGATATGTTGTATTGTGATATTGATTGTCATTTTTTTTTTTAACTGAGAGAAAAAAGAGTGATGGGTATGGATGTGACGGATTATAATTAAAAAAAAGGTGTTTTGGTATTTTCATTCATTTGACTCTCATTGCAAGGAACGAGGGTTCGAATCCCAGCCGGGCTCTAACGTTCTTTGGTAATACGTTAATCGACATTTGCCACTCTCCACCCATGAGTAGATGGGTACCTGGCAAGTGTTAGGGTTATATTAATGGAGGGCCCGTGGGAAGATCAGTATTGATACTAATGAGGCTACCCATGTTAAATAAGACCAAATCATTATTATTGTTATTTATTTATGTATTATCATTAAATGGATAAGTAGCAATTAGACAACAATGATAAGTACTATTTCAAATCACAGCGCACCACCATCAATGAAATGGCCGCACCCACCATATATCTGGCTTTGGTTCGTATCAAAAGCATATCATGTAGTATCAATATGGGCTCTGTGATTATTATTGTTGTTGAAAACTTAATTTCAATAATAGTCATCATTCTGAAGATACCTTGTCCTTCACCGTCAATGATACACTATACTTGGGTCAAGGGTTAAATGTATAATTATGCTGGTTGTTGTTTCGACCATGATAACTGAGTGAAGTGATCGCAAGCATCGACATTCTCTCCATCCTTCTTCCTGCTGCACACATTGTCTTAAGGATCTCTTATATTACCGTCCTCGGTTTTCCTGTGGTTTTTTAAAGAGCTCTTGAAACCCACGGTCTCCCTTGCTTACCGTTAAAGTAGAGCCTTACGGAACTGTTGCCTCTTTTCACCTCGATTTTTGCCTATCCCCGCGGCCAATTTCTCCATTAAGTTGACATTCGGCGATGCGTTGTTGTGTATCTTTGCCCTGAGCACATTCTGCAATAAATAGGGTTCCTTTTTAAAGAGAGAGAGAGAGAGAGAGAGAGAGGGAGAGAGGGTGAGAGAGAGAGAGAGAGAGAGAGAGAAGAGGGTGGGGTGTAGAGCGAAATATTAAGATGAATAGCTAAGATCGAAATGATACAGTCATCATAGAGTATATTAATTATACCCGTTCTTAAGTAAAACGTAGAGAAGGGCTATTGATTGAAAGATTGAAATGAATCGTAGTTTTCACAAATATCTCTGATATTCAATCCAAGGTAACAAACAAAATTAAAGTGGGCAGATTAAATATTTGATGTGAAAGAGAGACGAGAAGAGAATGGGAGAGAGACATATATATATATAGAGAGAGAGAGAGGAGAGAGAGGGGGAGAGGGGGTAGAGGGAGAGGGAAAATGGGGTGATGAGGTGTCTAATGTGTCCGATGCTGTCAGTTCAAGGGGGACATGAAGAGTAAGACATCATGTTTCATGTATGTTTTTACATTATCTCGATTATGTTCGTATAATGTACACGAATGTATTGCAAGTTGTGACGAGGAAAGGGATCATTCATTTTTTAGGATAATTAACATACCTAAGATTTCGGCTGACTGGCAGACAAGGCCTAATACACAGCGCGAGAAGCACGCCATACCCTACAACATACCCCCAAATTATGTATTTGTACACGTGTAGGATGGGTGGGTGACATGCCAGACATAGTGCAAACATCAGGATAATCATTCAGGGAATTATAACAAGATGATCTACCAAGCGAATGTGATGCCGGGTCCCGCAGATGCTTCCATCTGGAACGATCTATCATTTTGGCAGACACGCCTTAGATGTCGCACCCGGATACCAACATCCATATATCTATCTATTCCACAGGTTATACTGGTATGTGTCAGGTTATAACTTTCAGTACCACGCAGTCATTACTGATGACTCTGTTGCTCCATTATCGACGGGCTTGGGTTTTATAAACCTAACATTTTGCTTGCGACATTATGATGTTATACTAACCCAAACCCTGACACCTACAGGAATTTAACGCTGAGCATGAATGCCAGTGGCCTAGTTCCTAGATATTTGCTTCAACCTACATTATATGTGTATATAATATATATATATATATGTACTTAGAAATTGTATTTGTTATTCCAATGAGATTCATGGCGGGCCTAGTAACTCCTTGGTTATTCGAAAACTGTTGTAGGAATATGATATGGTCTGAACTATGCCACATATGTATTCTCCTGGCCTTTATCTTGTTGAACAACTGCTGACAGATTGTGGAGGTTGTATTATGGTGCTGTAGCTCTGAATAGCAGTGGAAAGCTATAGCTTTTGTCATCCTGAAATGGAGCATCGTTTCACTAAGTCTCTGTGGCACTGTAAATTGGAAAGTGTTTTTTTAATCGTTGGCGTCACTAAAATGAAAGAATTGTTTTATTGCAAACTTATAAGAATTTTTTTTCTCACATGTTCGTGGATGAATATACTTTTACAGAATCCCTTCCCCTACTCGACCGTCTGCGCCCCCGAATATATACTATAATAATGTATATGCCGCCCTCCCCATTTCATTTCTCATGCTCTTACTTCGCACACCTTTACCTCCTTACTCCGTGGAGCTTCATCTGGCGCATCACTTTATTTCATCTCGACATCATCTGATTAATCTCCTAAGTCTACACGGTCGACCGTCTTAATTCGAAGCGTTGATGGTTTCGTCACACTCACTCCCAGGCCATAACCCGAGGTTCTCTCGACACAGGTTTGCCTCCCTAAGACAAGTGAAAAAGTCAAATATGTTTCTAACGTATTAATGTTGAATTTGCTCGAGGAGTCGAAGAAGAAATAAAATACTAAATCAATACAGAGACAGGATTACCACTATATTTGTTATTGAAGTTGGAATTGAATGTGATGAAAATAAATATAGTTAACTGTCATTGACACATCGATATTGCTCATGTAGTGACGTATTCATGAGCTTCTAAGGGTTCTATCCTGAGATGACTGCTGAAGGCCGAATTGTCAAATTGTCGAATTACCGACTTCAACAAAACGATAATTGCAGTTTGTAATAGCAAAGTGCAGTCACGTTTGTGATAGCTCAATAGGAGATTTGTTCATTTGTAAATCGTAGTTTGTCAGAGTGTCACCCTTTTTTCTGCATCTCAAGTTCCGATGATCTTAGCGGTCATGTCGTACATAAAAAGGTATTGTCAATAACTGGTCACATTCTCGTAAAAAGGTGAAATGCTATTTTCTCCCATTCATTGCCCATTTTGAACCAAAGTACATCATCAATTTTATGTATCTATCTAAAAAGTGTACCAAACACTTGATTGGTAAAGTATTCATTCGCTACACTATCTATTCATTTTACTTAGAAAAGAAGAAAGTTGCAGGGTGAAACCAATCGAATTATACTTTATTGATGTCAGAAAAAGACTTTAAGACCTTACGGGTAGCAAAATAGTAATAAAACAGTTAGATGTAGTGACAATATTTAGAACAGTAATTCTTGATGTTGGTGTAGACGAACTGGTTGAGACAAGATGGGTTTATTGGACTCAGAGGAAGAAGAATTTGCAACATTTCTCGCCGTACTTGTGTCCTGGTTTTCTGAGTCGATGTACTATCCTGGTAGAGAAATGATGGAGCACATCATCGTGGGGTGATGTATATCCACGGCCAGTGGCGTAGATACAGGAGGCACAGGGTGCATTACTCCTTCCCCTCCCCGCGCGCTGGTTGTACGAGACTGAATCCTGCGACATTTGCCCAGGGTCCATTTCCTACACCACTAGTAACCGAATTCTTAACTTCAACCCTGAACCTGAGTCTATTGATTATACCTAGCTTTACCCTAACCATAACCTGAAACACACTTTCAACCAACTAAGCATGATTTGGGTTTGTTGTCGTAAATACAATTTACAAAGCCCGGAGCAATTGGGGGAGGAGAAATTGTGAGGCCATCGTCCTCCCTCTCCTGCTCAACGAATATACGGGACAAACAGAAAAGAACAAGAGCAGGGGAAAAGGTCAATACTAAAGACGATGAGACCTCTTGCTTTTCCCCCTAATTGTAGGCCTTATATACTTCCATGACATTTTCAAAGTTTGACCCATGCCCCCCTCCTCCCGTCCGCCCCCTCCGATGAGGTCCCCCGCCCCTTCAATAGTTGAACTCACACTTCGCCTCTTTCCATGGCCAGTGTGGGACGGATGATTGACGCGGGAAGCAGACTTGTCACAGCTCATGATTCAACGATGTATCGAATGTTGTCCCCGCCCCCTCAATTGTTAGACTCACACACCGCCCCTTCCCATGGCCGGTGTTGGACGCATGATTGACGAGGGAAGCAGACTTGTCACAGCTCATGATTCAATAA